TTTTTTTTTTAAGCTATGTTCTTCTCTCAATTTCACCTCACACTACCTACCTACCACTACTAATTGTAGGCATACGGGGAACCCCGTAGCAGCCAGAACCGTGTTCACGAGAGAACATGCAGGGGCTGCTCCCGACCTGCAGGTGGGCCGGCTAGGGGATTGCCAGTAGCATCAGGGACCATGCCAACAGGACCAATCCCTGGGCCTCCCCTCAGGTGGTGGTCCCCTCCCCTACGAACATCAGCGGACTCTGCTCAATGCCGATCGGGGGATCCAGAAGAGTTCTGAAGTGCTGGATGTTGCCGATTTTATTTTTCTCTATTTGTTTCTTTTCCTGCGGCTAAGAATTGATTGGTGCCGCCTAGCGGGTATTGTGTGAGATACAGGTTGTGGAAGATTGGCATTTTTCATTATGGAGTGTCATCTCCTTAAGGTTGCAGTTTTCTGATGGCTAGAAGACTTATATGTCATCTAGACTCTGATGATGGATTTTATAGCCAGCGCTCAACCTGTCATCCACGTGGCTGGCCTTGTACGTAAGAGGTGACGAACAGGTGGGGCTTTCCTTCCTTCCTTCTTTTTCTTTTTCTTGTTTTTTTTTTTCCGCCTTTGCGCTCTGATTTCCAGTGTATATATATCGTCACACCGTGTATGGGAGCGCAAAGGCAAAAAAAGACAAAACAAAACAAAAAAAAAAGTAAGGAAGGAAAGCTCCGCCTGTTCATCACCTCTTAGGTACAAGGCCAGCCACGTGGATGATATAAATGTGTATTTTTCAAGATGAAATTCTCCCAAACTGGTAATTGATCAAATCACTGTTATCACTGGGTTTTTTTTTTTTTTTTTTTTTTTTTATCACTGTTATCACTGTTTTTTCTCGTGAAAAAATCAAAGATTGAATTCCGACAAAGCCGGGCATCATTGCCGCCGGAGGTGTTGTTCAACACAGGAGGCATTCCCTGACTCAAAACGACGCCAGCACATGCCACGGCATTTGAGTTTTGTTTTTTGAACTTTTTTTTTGTTTTTTTTTTGGGTCCTTCGGGAGAACCGTTAAAATTGGAACGATGCAGAGAAGATTAGCATCGTCATTGAGCGTTTGCATGACACGGGTTGTTCGTGATATGAGTTCGGATCTGGGCGTTTGCGTGATTCGGGGCCTTTTTTGTCGCAAACAACGATACCTCAAGGCCGTCATCATTTAAGAAGGAGAAAGAAGAAAGAAGGAAACCCCACAGTCTGCTGGATGCATTCTACCGAACAATAATTTAAGAAGGAGAAAGAAGAAAGAAGGAAACCCCACAGTCTGTTGGATGCATTCTACCGAACAATAATGACTCATGATATTGAGCCAAATGTGAAGATCCTGCTGGGCCACAACAGCAGTATGCGTGAGAATACCATCATGATGGCAGATACAGCCATGAAAACAGACTACTCCGCACGCAAGAAATTGGACCAATCATACTCTCTTTAAGTGACACGTGTCACTCTCGGTTCTCAAGAAACTGAACCACAAGATCGGATCCAGAGTTACCACCACACTTGAGAAAAGTGGTCGACTTTCCTCATACCAACCCTGTAGATCGTGTACGTCCGTGTGTGACACGTGTCGCTCTCGGTACACCTAACTCACATCAACCCTGTAGTTAGTGTGCGTTCGCGCGTGTAGTTTGCATCCCAAGGAATGGGAAGAAAGGTTGGATTGTGCCCCGTTGCGAAATACTCTCTTCAAACTCTGTTATATAGGTTCTCCAAACAAGAATGCTTCAATTGACTGGCGCAAGCACGATCAAGCGACCAATCACCCATGCCGAGGTAGAGCAGAGGCGGACTCATTAAGGCACAAGCCACAAGAAAATGCTCTCGCAGGCGTGCGCGCGCACACACACACACACACACACACACACACACAGAGAGAGACAGAGAGAGACAGAGAGAGAGAGAGAGACAGACACACAGAGAGAGAGAGAGAGAGAGAGAGAGAGAGAGAGAGAGAGAGAGAGAGAGACGCAGACTCATAAAGGCACAAACCACAAGAAAATGCTCTCGCAGGCGTGCGCGCGCACACGCACAGAGAGAGAGAGAGAGAGAGAGAGAGAGAGAGAGAGAGAGAGAGAGACCCAGACTCATAAAGGCACAAACCACAAGAAAATGCTCTCGCAGGCGTGCGCGCGCACACACGCACACAGAGAGAGAGAGAGAGAGAGAGAGAGAGAGAGAGAGAGGGAGGGGGGGGGGGGGGGGGGGGGTGGAGGAGGGGGGGGGGGAGGGGAGGGGAAGGGGAAGGGGAAGGGGAAGGGAATTTGCGGGACGTCATTGAGAGAAGGAGAGCTAAGTGTACAAGGCAGAGAGGGGAGGATGGAATAGAAAGGAACCACAAAGGGGACAGACAGATGAAGCGGCGTTTGCGTACCTAAGGCCGGAGTTCGTCGGCGTGGAGAGAGCGCTGCCCTCGTGGGCGTTATCGCCCGCTCGTCTGCGTTCCCCGCGTGCCACGTCGTGCACTCCGCAATGCCACCGCCTAACGTCAGTCTTTCCGGGCATCCGGTTTGAACTGGTCGTCTGCTACCATTAGCAATCAGCGGAGGCCTGCTGCATACCGTCATCTCTACGGTTATCGGTGCCTGGTGGCCACGTGGAAAGCATTCCGATCCCAAGTACCGACCCGCGGCGCGCAGCTCGGCCGATCTCGCCGCGGGCAGATACAACACCCTCGCTGAGCCCACGGTCGCCATCACTCACGCCCCTGCAGGGACCTCCCCCCTATCAATGAGCTCCCGCCACGTGGACGCAATCCACGTGAACAGCTGGGCTGTCCAGGCGCGCTGACAGAGCGCGCCGTGGGAAGCAAGCCGTGGGAATGGCCCTAGACGATCCCCGCCGTGTGTGGCCGACAATCGCTGGGAGGGAGAAAATCTTTTTGAATTGTCTGTAACAATCGCGACCGACTGCCGCATTGCCGCTACGAAATTATGATTTCCGTTGGGGAACCAGCGAGCCTACCATCGTCCCCCGAACATAACGCACCCTAAAAATGAATGTAAACAAGCTATATTTCCGGCCAGATACAGCCAAAATAAGGGTGCGTTGTGTTCGGGGGAAGACAGGAGATAGCGCAATTGGTGCACCGCATGAACTGTTGAAACACAGACCTAGGTTCGAATCCAGGTAACCGGAATAAAATACTGCTGAATTACCTGGAGCATCGTCCCACGAGCAACGGGATAGGATAGAAAAGAGTTTGTTGGCAGTTGAGTGACCATGCGGTGCAGTACTCGTGATCCTTTTTTGATCTTTTCTCTACGCAATATTCTTCTCTCTTTTCTTTTTTTCTTTTCTTTTATGTGGCAACCTGCTATGGGAGGTGATACGAGCATCCTCCAATAGCAAGCCCCAGTTTATAGATGGCTCCAATCTATTGGTGGGGAGCATCACCTGCTGGAAACGGGGTCCAACGTCCCACGTCCCACTGACAAGATCGGAGTCTATATACCTGGCGGAACAGCAGTGATTGCCCTCTCACGAGGGGATTGACTGCCTGCCCAATTATCAGCCAGGTCACAGCATCTATGAAGATCCAGCCATGGGGAGGGTGACAAACTATCCTCCAATCACCCTAATCCTTCACAGTCATAACCGCGCAAAGCAAACCCTAGGCCCCCTCCGTGCATAAGGCCGCTGCCCAGCTCCATGATTCACATTTTCTGCCAGCGGAGGACCTTTGCCTACCCTCCCTTATCCTAAGCTAATCACCCTGCGAAGATCATTCTCACGAATTTGTTTTTGTCAAATTTATTATTATCACACATCTGCCATGGATACTCTTCCCCCTGCCATTTCACCACCAGAGTTCTGCCCATCCCTTATTGATTGTCCTATCTCCTCCCCCTATCCCCCGCCCAAACGACAAACCTTCCTCTCGCTCCTGTCCATAGTGCCCCCACCCAGTGACAGTCAGGACCGGCAACAGGGAGGGGGCTGGGGGAAACCCTAGGTCAAAAGGAGCCGCCAGCATGTGATATTTACGCAGGAGTGAAACAATCAAAACACATGCCAAACCCATCGAATCCAACCCCACCCATGGTCAACTGCCTGAGTCACCCCCATGAGTGTATGACGCCGCAGCGCATTAGCATTACCCCTTGGGGGGGATTGGCATACCTCTGCGAAATCAGAAAAAAACTTGTCGTCGTCATAGCTCGGTAAATCATCACACATGATATCATTGCCCTCATCAGCCTGCTGGGTAGATGACAAATCAATTGTAAAAAAAACTTTCAGAACAAGCGGGCGAACCGCATCACCTACCTCCGCCAAAGCACCATTGTGAAACAATGATGACGATGCCTTATGACCTTCCGCGGCCTGTTGGTTAGACTGTGAAACAAATGTCAACAAAACTTCCGGAGCAAGCGCCCGGATGGCCGCTCCCACATCCGTCAAATCTCCATTATTCACTACAACAGCCTGAGACTGATAGCCAAACAATACTGACACCATGAGATCGTCACCCAATTCATCACTCCCCTGAGCAAACGACCTTTGTTGCTGGACACAGAGTGGAGTAATTGGTGATGTCGCTGTTGTAGATGTTCCAACGGTCGATATTGCTCTTGTTGCCGCTGTTGCCGCTGTTGATGTTGTTGATGTTGTTGATGTTGTTGATGCTGTCCATGTCACGCTATCCTGACCTTCAGATGAGAGCAACTCACCTGGTGGACTACCCACGTCTCTCCTTGCTAGAAGCCCGACAAACATGTCTTTCACCTGCGCTAGCATCCCAGCACACTCGTGTAGGGCAGTCATCGCCTGTGCTCTGTCAATCATATCCAACTGTCGAAGAGAGATCTGCTCATACAGTTCCTCCTCCCACCCATCGTAGATCTCCTATCCCTCCAACAAGATGTCATCTGGTAGGTTGCCATATTCTTGACTCAGCAACACGTGCATCTCCTCCAGCTGTTGTTTATACAAGGTCACAATGAACAGTGCAGAATCTGCCTGCACAGGCTGCAGGGCAGGAGGAGTTTCCCACATCCCCCTATCAGGCATGGTCTCCGTGTCCATCTTTGTCGTCGTTATTGATGTCAGAAACTAACACCGCTGCGCCGCAATCACATTTTTTCAACAAATTCCCAACTGGTGCTGCCCCTGTCCGCACGTCGTGGGACACCCACGTCACCAACAGCAGCTGCCACGTGGCAATCAGGACGCCACGCGCGTCTGCCAGGCGCGCGCACAGGCCGAGCGACCGAGGAGCTCCCTCCCCCGGGCACTAGTCTAGCCGGCTGACCGGGCCTTGCCGGTCGGGCAGCGCCGGGGCGCTAGCGCTAGCGCAGCTTTATGCTATATTCTTCTCTCAAATCTTTCATCATCTTTCAAATTCTTTCAGTTCACCTTCACTACCTACCTACCACTACTCCTAAGGATTAGACAGGGGACCCCTGCAAACATAGCTTTGTTGTCTCCTTCCAGCCATCAGAGGGAATGCATGTTGCCCCCCGCCCCAACGATGGTGGTCAAGGATGGGGTGGGGTTGGGTGGGGGTCCGGCTAACGCAAAGACCGATCATGTTGCCAGTGGCTGCGCCTCCCTTTTGTCCCCCACCCCCAACCGAATAACAACAGTGTCTAAGGCCAACACTCTCCCACACACCACTTACAACCCACTCACACTCACACTCACACCCGTGTTGGCCAACGACCCTGCTATTACTGGTCAGAGGTATCAAGTGAACTATCACCACTGCCAATGGTTGGCACTAAGTGTGTCGCAGGCAGTTGTGGGGCTTGAACCCACAACCTCCTCCCACGGTCAGTATTTTACATGTATTACCCGAAAAAGTAAGGAGTCTCAAATCTTTGTTCCCCTCCTCCTCTCCTTAACATTGGGCATGCCAGTGTGAAGGAAGCTTCCCACCAAAATCTTGTCAATCTGTTGGGGTGGAGCCCTCCTTCAATCACAGAGTATATGGAGGGTGTCATGATCACTGCTGACTGAAGTCGAGTTTATTCCAGAAAAATGTGGCAGTTACTTTGTTCACTGTTGTTGCAACCACCTAGGAAGCACTCCGCCGGGACTCCCGGTGCGAGGTCTCTGTTTTTTTTTTTTTTTTTTTTTTTTTTTTTAATGGCGATGTATTTGTCCGACTCGATGTTATACGGAAAATTCGTTCTCATTTTGCACATTTGGTGAGTAGCGGAACGGACCCCATTTCTTCCTCAACAACCCTTCCCCTCCTTTACCTCTTCCCCCTCCTTTACCTGTTCCCCACCTCTTCACCCCCCCATCCCTCCCCCTTCTCACGACCCACCCCCCCACTCTCCCCCCACTCCCCCCTCACTCTTCCCCCACCCCAAATACCGACGCGCACACAAATGTTTCCAGCCTGTAGAACAAAAACCGCCAGGATTCTTGTAAAATTAAAAAAAAAAGAAAAAGAAACGAAGGGAAAATAAAACCGTCTGGTCCCACCTTTTACCAGGACACTTGATCTGCAATCGGCGATTACGAAGATCAACGGCCTGACGGCGATAATTTTTTTGTTTTTTTTTTTTAAATATCTTAGGATGTCGCCCCACTGCACAACATTTTTACATGCATGTGTCTAGACGGAGACCCCCTTTGGATGTATGCGGACAACAGCAGGTCCAGGTGCGTTTGGAATTTCCTGTAATGAAGTGAGGGCCTTAATAGTATCTAGGTATATCTGCGTTATCAGTGGGGCCTCCCCTACCCCACAACTCTCTCTGGGCCCTCCGTCGTGGGCCCATCCCGGGACCCCCCCACCTGAACCAGCCCAAGGCCGCCGCCCCCTACTGCCGACACACACTGTTGTTGGTGGTGCCCTCAAGCTCTGCGCGTCCGCCGTCGTTGTTGCTGCTGCTGGAACTTTTCCTTTTTTTTTTTTTTTTTTTTTTAAACACGGGCCCAGTGCCCAAGACTATAATTGAAATTCAGCAGTTCAGGAGGCCGGGGACCTCACAGTCTACCCAGAAACAGAAAAGGGAAACCAATTATGGGAGCCTTATCCAGTTTCTCTTTTTACAGGACCCAGTGGGATCCGAAATACAGAAGACCAACACCTAAATTCCTACTTTAAGTTTCACTACGGACAAATAACTACGCTGTTATTCAAAACTCTGAGAAAAGGAAACTACTTGCAAAACGAGAACCTACACCCAGACCAACCCGATCTGGGAGGGAGCCATGTCTTGATCCTTGAATTGAAGTGTATTCCTACCCTGTCTTGTGATGCCCAACCTCACGCCCAACGCGAATTCCTATTTCGGAGTGTTTAGGGGGCCCGAAAGTGCGAAGAAGGGTGTGCTAAGGATTTTAGGAAAGTGGGGTTGGAGTCCCAGATCAGAACTGAGATCTCCGGTGGCAAGCTTAGGGGTAGTTGAGCAAGATGGTGGTCCCGAGTTATATTGGACTTCGGGAGACCGTGCTACCTCCGGTATGAGTGTCGTTGTCACGGTCGGGCCCGTCTCGAGTGGACAGGTGGGTCGCTATAGTTGTCGTGTTGTTCGAACAACTGTCGGCGTCGCTCGGCCTCGGCTCGGGTTCATCGGATCAATCCCGAAGTCTGATACGCCTGGGGCTGCCGACACTCTTCGCACGGTGTGCGGGGCCAATAGCGAGTTATGGAATTCCACGGTACCACTGTGAGCTGATGGTAGGGGAGGAGGAGATGGAAGGGAGGAAACCTAGTAGAAATAACGACGAAGCCTGAGGATATGTAATATTGAGTGTTGTTAGTATTCGGGTAGTCCGGACCCCGGGGATCATTGGTTATGGCCCAGTGAAAGTCCCCCGCGCACAGTCGGTCGT